TGAAGCACGCTGTGCTGCAGGCTGAATACGGCACTTTTGGTACCAGAATCCATGGGGCTTTTGAACAAAACATGCTTTTAACAAGAAAATAAATAAACAGCATTTCTTTAGCCTACTATTTTCCCAATTGTAGCCCAAGTTTGGCAGATGTCTGGATGAGCCAATACAGTCCTGCTCCTGCTGAGGCTGATATGCCTCCTTCTGATGTCAGTTCCTCTATAAGAACAGTTATTTTCCCGGTATGATCTAAACTTACATTGTGGGTGATGTGAAGATTTTCGAGTGACCGGCTCACTGCAGTGACAATGACGTTAAAATGCTGCAATATGCGGTATAATTTTCCTAATTTCCCATCATTTTTAGCTGTAGAGCCGATCAAATCTGATGTGTGAGTGAAATATTTCAAACGCTTTTTTATTTCAACAAACTTTACTTCTGTGAAAATATGTGACACTTGGTTTGGTGTCTGTGTCAGGAATTATAATACAACTACAGTACACATCCAGATGGAAGACATTATAGCTTAATATCTGTTATAAAACGTCTTTTTATACATGATATTTGAATTATATCATAATTGTCAGCTATTATGATGGGGAAAAATCCTGAATATCCATTCAAAACTTTAAAAAAAATTATCATACAGTACAAAGTCTTTTGGTGCAAAACACTGTAATAACATTAAATTAAAAATAAAAAAACAGGTTCTGTGAAGATTATAATGCAATATACCTTCACTTAAATGTATGAAATACACCCTTTGAGTTAGGAATGGCACTGTGATGTCAGTCATGCTACAAATTTTGGTCTGCTTTTGGATTTCTTTCATATACATTGTGCATATATTCTAAATCAAAAGAAGTATAGCATAGTCTATTTGAAACCTGACTTTTGTATAATGTTACAAAATACAGTTACACAGCGTATAATCTACAGCATAGAGTGGCTTTCCTGATATGAAGAACTATTCCAACCTGGTTGGATCCCATTCTCATACATTTTGGATTTTATTGTAAAATTTTTTTGTAAAGTGATTGTTAATACACAGCTACTCTCCTTTTCAATGACCTTTTCTGTCTGCCCGCTGCTCCCACTGGCCGGATCTTAATTTCTGCAAAGTCGAGAGACTGGAGATGCCCCTTCCATGGCTCCCAGTTTACTCCCTGAAAGACACGATCAGGAAAGTATTAAGTTTATTTTACTAACATTCAGCTACTCATTCATTATATCATCGGGCAGCATCTCTGATGAAAGAGATTTCATCTAATATTGAGTGGTAATTTTTGCCCATGTTTTAGTTTTTCAGAAATGCTACAAAAAGTTCAAACGTTTTGGGGTTTTTGATAACATTTTTGAAAGAAGTCTCTTGTGCTCACCAAGGCTGCATTTATTTGATTCAAAATAACAGTAAAAACAATCATATTTTGAAATATTATTTCAAATTAAAATAACTGTTCTTTATTTTAATATATTTTAAAATATAATTCATTCCTGTTTCAGCAGATTACTCCAGTCTTCAGTGTCACATGATCTTTCAGAAATCATTCTGATATGATGTTTTTGTTACAGATGAGGCTTCCGTACCGCAAAAACAGGTTCTGTGAAGATTATAATGCAATATACCTTCACTTAAATGTATGAAATACACCCTTTGAGTTAGGAATGGCACTGTGATGTCAGTCATGCTACAAATTTTGGTCTGCTTTTGGATTTCTTTCATATACATTGTGCATATATTCTAAATCAAAAGAAGTATAGCATAGTCTATTTGAAACCTGACTTTTGTATAATGTTACAAAATACAGTTACACAGCGTATAATCTACAGCATAGAGTGGCTTTCCTGATATGAAGAACTATTCCAACCTGGTTGGATCCCATTCTCATACATTTTGGATTTTATTGTAAAATTTTTTTGTAAAGTGATTGTTAATACACAGCTACTCTCCTTTTCAATGACCTTTTCTGTCTGCCCGCTGCTCCCACTGGCCGGATCTTAATTTCTGCAAAGTCGAGAGACTGGAGATGCCCCTTCCATGGCTCCCAGTTTACTCCCTGAAAGACACGATCAGGAAAGTATTAAGTTTATTTTACTAACATTCAGCTACTCATTCATTATATCATCGGGCAGCATCTCTGATGAAAGAGATTTCATCTAATATTGAGTGGTAATTTTTGCCCATGTTTTAGTTTTTCAGAAATGCTACAAAAAGTTCAAACGTTTTGGGGTTTTTGATAACATTTTTGAAAGAAGTCTCTTGTGCTCACCAAGGCTGCATTTATTTGATTCAAAATAACAGTAAAAACAATCATATTTTGAAATATTATTTCAAATTAAAATAACTGTTCTTTATTTTAATATATTTTAAAATATAATTCATTCCTGTTTCAGCAGATTACTCCAGTCTTCAGTGTCACATGATCTTTCAGAAATCATTCTGATATGATGTTTTTGTTACAGAGGAGGCTTCCGTACCGCCGCCTCCTCACCACCAGAGGGAACTCTCTCCTGAATATTGACTTTATCCATTCGGACTCTAGTTCCCATCATGCCTCATACCTGGGACTGATTGCACGCACACACCTGCATTGAATCACGCACACACACATTTAAGCCAAACACTCACAGCAACTCACTGCGAAGTCTTGATTTGCCCCGGCTGTCACTTCTGAGCGTTTACCCTGTATCTTGCCTACTCGTTTGACCTTGGACTGTTTATCGTACTCTGATCTGTCTCTGCCTGCCCTGACTTGGATTGTTCTACTACTGTGATTGTCTGCCGCCTGCCTCGACCTCCTGCCCGTCCCACGTTCTGTCTCAGCCTAGCCTCCGCTATTGTATCTACTGGTGATTGACCCTGTCTTGTCTGTGTACGCAATAAACGTTGCAAATGGATCCAGACTCTGCTGATGATTCGCAACAGAAGACTTCGCCACACAGCGATCCAGCAGCACTCAGGCAATTATCCACTGAGCTATCTGCGCAGGCCACACAGCTCGCCATGCATCACCACTAACTAAACCGGCTTACCTCACTCACCGAGGAGTTAGTGAAGGCGCTGCAAGGCCTTCAAATAACGCCAACCGCGGCTGCAGTCGCTCCAGCCCCGGCGCCTCATTACACCACGCCACCCCTAACATCACCCACATCCCCAGTGAGCCCATGCAGCTGGGCTTCACTCACCTCACTCCCGAAAGCACTAGAGGAATGGCGCCACTGGCTGGAGGGGGCCTCACACCCATTTTTAGTCCTCACCGATCACAAGAACCTCGAATACCTACGCTCGGCCAAATGATTGAACCCCAGACAGGCAAGGTGGGCGTTATTCTTCACTAGATTTCAGTTTACTGTATCGTACAGACCAGGCACCAAGAATATCAAAGCCGACGCTCTCTCTAGTCAAACCGAGGAGACGTTCTGCTCAAACGTCAAAGAAAGTATACTTCCTGAGAAACTCTTCATCGCACCCGTGCAGTGGGGCATCATGACCGAAGCAAACAACTTGAACCTCCAGAGTCCGCCACCTCCTGAAAGTCCCCCCAATCTCACCTATGTTCCTGAATCACTACGAGAGCGTCTATTGACACAAGTACATGTTCTGCCCAGCTCGGGACACCCTGGAATCGCTGCCACTGCACATCTGCTCCAAAACCAATTCTGGTGGCCCACTCTGTTATCTGATACCACCAAATTCGTCCGAAACGGCATTACCTGCAACACTTCTAAATCACCCTGACAACTACCAGCAGGCCTGTTACAACCATTGCCCACGCCACAATGGCCTTGGTCTCACATCGCCATTGACTTCATCACCGACCTACCCAACTCTCAAGGTAATACCACTATACTTATGATTATAGACCGATTTTCCAAAGCATGCCGTCTAATTCCCCTGCCTAAACTCCCCACGTCATTTGAAACTGCTGAATTACTGTGCAATCATGTGTTTCGTTTCTATGGTCTGCCTGAGGACATTGTCTCAGACCGGGGTCCCCAGTTCACCTCAAGGGTATGGACCGCCTTCTTCAAACTCCTCAATGTCAACATCAGCCTCACATCCGGCTACCATCCTCAGTCCAACGGACAGACAGAGCGCCTGAATCAGGAGATCGTCCAGTTCCTTCGATCGTATTGCCAGCCA